CAAGAAGGCGTTTAAAAAGGAAATGTGAAATTAACGAAGATTTAATTCGAGCAATAGAAAGTTAATATATAGACCTCGCTTAATTTATCGGCGCTGTTTGATATTAATGTCTGCCCATGAACGCGCGCTGAATGCTGATGCACGCATTCACGCTCGTGGGATAATTATCCCGAATTTCTACGCAAGGAATACAACATTTTCATTTACGGCGCTAATTTGCATGTATTATGATTGGTCGCGGTCGTAGTTGTTATCTGTTATAACGTGAGGAAATTGGATATAACGCATTTATAAACCCGCATGTTAAACATGATCTATTGACTTTCATCACGCATCAGTAGGTACCGAGCGAGTTGGATGAATGAAAAGTTTACGCATCTATTAATAATGCCCCGCACTACCAAGATATTATTAGGCACTGATCAAATTTATCGTGTGCAATGATGGTCTTTTTACAAACTGGCTTTGCTATTTCGCACGTTCGCAAGTTTGCCTATAATTAGACGAAACTTTACTCAGCCTTTCCTTATCAGAGGCATCGAAGATAATGTTCCTCTGCAAATCGCAAGTGCATAGAGTTTTCTCACTTTTTGAAATATGAAGACACAAGAGATGTCGGTGTGACGAATTAATTCTTCTCTTTTTTTCCTAGATTCCAACGTCTAGTCTAATTTATTCGCGGCATCATATCACGAATTGGGAAATATGTGCGGCACATTGCAATGGCTCGATCATGGCTAGGATGTCTGTGCGGTGTCTTAGTACCATCCGTGATCTTTTATCTGTACCTGCTGTTGAACGGTAATTGTACGATGTCGTTATCGATATCGATATCGATTTCTCTTTAACACTGAAAAGCATCAGAGAAACGTTGTTTCCAGTTCCCTCCGCGGAGATAGGCAAATCGAGCGTCGGAGGGAAGTGGCGATCGCTATCGGTGGGGGTGGAGAGATCGAGTTTGCGGGCGGAAGAACGCTCTCCCGAACGATCGCAGTTAAAAAACAATTTTGAGGTAAACGCTCGTAAACCTTATACTTCCATCAGCGTCCACCGTACGCCGACGAGTGATGTTCTATATTTTCAAGGTGAAATGCGACACGATACACGTAGCCATGGTGTGCGCCGGATACAATTCAACCTTCGCCCTCGTAACCGTAGTGAAGTCCATTCTGTTTTATCGCACGAATCCGTTGCATTTTCATTTGCTCGTCGACGAAATTGCGAGGAAAACGCTCTCGACTCTGTTCCGAACGTGGGATTTGCCACATGGTTTGTACGCTTTTACGACAGGACACGCACTACCCCTTTGTGACGTACGCGGAAGCAGAGAAACCTAATTTTTATCCATGTCTGTTAACATGGCGCATAAAACACGATGTGTATATTCGTAAAAAAGAGAAAAAAATCATTTTTTTTTTCCGACGTAAATATAAAATGTATTTAATTGAATTTGTTAAAAAAGTTCAATATGTGTAGTTGTGCGCGTAAAGTTTTATTAAAATGGAGATTTTTCAAAAGAGAGAGAGAGAGAGAGAGAAAGAATAAAAAGAAAAAGTTTTCTTTTATATAATATACAAGTATCGGATAGATGCATGTCAGGTGAAATCTCTCCTCTCCGAGTCTCTGATTGTTTGAAGGGATTATTTTTAGTCAACGTAACGTTCTACAAGGCTGAGATTTGGGTGCCGAGGGTTTCATGGATACCGAACAAGCACTATTCGGGGGTGTATGGTCTTCTGAAGTTGATACTGCCGGACGCGATGCGAGAGGACAGAGTGCTCGTGCTGGACACGGACGTGACCGTTTTGAACGACATGCAGCCGTTGTGGAAGATGTTCGAGAGTTTCTCGGCTGGTCAGACATTAGGTCTGGTCGAGAATCAGAGTAACTGGTACGTAAAGGCGTTGTCGTACGGGCAGCGCCCGTGGCCGGCTCTAGGTCGTGGATTCAATACCGGCGTAATGCTGATGCACCTGCGACATTTACGCGACGGAAAGTTCGCGAGCTCCTGGGAGAGCATAACCAAACGCGTGCTCAGATATATACCAGAGACCAGCCTGGCCGACCAGGACGTGATAAACGCGGTGATCAATGAGCAGCCGAGTATCGTGTACAAGATAGAATGTACCTGGAATATACAGTTGAGCGATCACACGATAAGCGACACGTGCTATCGTGACACGAATCGCATAAACGTACGTCCCGTCCTATTGTAATTTCGATTATGCCTTCGTTGAGAGCGTGGGTGGAAATCGATCGATCTTTGACCGAGCGCGTCATTTCACTTTTAGATTCTCCATTGGAATTCTCCGCGAAAGCAAGACGTTCACAATAAGCACGTTAACGAGTTTCGAAAATTGCATCGGGTCTTTCTTGAGATGGATGGCAATCTGTTACGAAAGCGCTTATTCGGCTGTGACAAGCACGAGAGCGTGCTTCCAGTGAGTTAAGAGAGAAAAAGCTTCTAAAATCCTCTGGTATTTTTATTTAATGCGACTGTAACGATTCCTCCGTCATACCCACAATTTTTGTTTTTTTTTTTAGTACAACGAGTCGAACCCTTGTCGAGAATTTGAGAAGGGCGCTACTCTTCTGTATCGTACACATCCTTTTCTTCTCGAATACGAATACAATGTATATTCGCCGACTGACGTTGCCCTGGTCACTCAGTGTAGCGTCGAAAGGATACCACTATTGGAAGCATTATCGAAACACTGGCCGGGAACTATAAGCGTTGCGCTTTACTTGACCGATGCGGAGGTTCAGAATTTCCTGGATTTCGTGCGGAGCTCCGCGGATTTGCGGACAAGAAGAAACATTGCTTATCACGTCGTGTACAAAGATGGGGTACGTTGTGCTTTAACCTTTAAAAGGCATCAGTGAATTTATAGTTTAAACGCAATGAAAGGGAGGACGTGATTTTTTAAATATTAAATTAACTTCTTTCATACTTTTAAAATTAAGGATGTTATATTTCCTAAAAGACTGCATACTTCTTATTGATTGTACAAATATAATTTATGCCATATTACATTCCTGGATGAAAATATCATAGTGTGTCATGTTTGTATATTTTTGGATATCATATTATTTCTAGATGAGTAGATTTTATATTTCTGGAATTTCTATTTTCTAGATGATTTAATAACTGACTTCTTTTTTTATCCGAGTTATTATTTTCACTTAGGATCTTTACCCTATCAATTATTTAAGGAACACTGCGATGTCATACGTACCAACTCCATTTGTCTTCCAACTTGATGTCGATTTTTTGCCGCAGTTTGGATTGTATGAAAATGTTATGAATTATATTAACCTATTAAAGATCAACGAATCGGACAAAGTAGCTTTGATCGTGCCAGCCTTCGAAACTGAACGTTATAGGTAATTCCTTGTTGTAAATATCAAGATAGGTTGTCATCTTTTTTTTTCTTTTTTTTTTATCAAAAAAAGTTGCCTCTTACAGGTTTACGTTTCCCGCCAATAAAGAGGAACTACTGAAGTTTCTTAAACGCGGTATTTTGTACACGTTTCGCTATCATGTTTGGACACAAGGACATGCTGCCACAAATTACAGCTTTTGGCGAAATAGCACGGAGCCTTACCAAGTGCGTGCAGGATCCGTAATTAGAAGAACGTTGGTGACGCCGGATTTGGCGATGCCCTATGCATTATTAAATACATTATTAAACATATATGATAGATATATATGCATGTTAGAAAATAAAAATATGAATGTATAACGAATGGATCATTGTAGGTTTCATGGGAGCCGGATTTCGAACCTTACATAGTAGTTTCGAAATCCGCTCCGCGATACGACACGAGGTTTGTTGGATTTGGTTGGAATAAAGTTTCCTATGTGACCCATTTAACGGCGCTAGATTATAAGTAAGCCGCAATAATTTTATTCATTTCGGATAATGAAATATGTGTGGAAACGATCTGATCAATATAATGCACGATTTAAATCGAAGTCTGAAATTGCAGATACATTGTTTTACCAGATACTTTTATTATTCATCGGCCTCATGCTCCTAGCTTAGACATCGGTAAATTCAGAACAGATTCTGTTTATAGAAGGTAATAACAAAGACATTTTTTTATAAATTCACTAGAAAATTACATTATAATAAAATAGCCAGACGTTTGTCCGTCGTACGATTTTTTGCAATTTTTTATTTTTTAATTTTAAATTCTATTCATTTTATAGATGTCTTAAAAAATTAAAAGATCAATTTGTTGAAGAATTGGTAGCAAAATATGGCGAGACTGCATTGTCGAAACTAAAGAAAGAAACCAAAGAAGAAAAAGCCTAAGAAATTATATAATGTTTAATGTTAACGTATAATTTTGACGCATAAGATATAATGAAATGTATGAATTCATTATATTTTTACTAAAAATCTCTATATTATGAAATGATCAGAAAAATCTATGTATTGCAGCTATTTTCTTAATAAAATATACATTCTTTTAAATAAAACATGCGTTGTTCGTTTATTAATTTCAAATAACTCGAATTAAAATATATTTGAAAAATAGAGGGTATAAATGGATCAGATTTGGGATCGGGAAATATTTATTAAAATTTAACCCATATATTTAGTGGAGTGTACAGAGTGGTGCTTTCAGTACATTATTGTAATATTACAATCACACTAAATATTTCATTTATAAAATATGTATAATATTTACAGCATCAGTATGTTAATGTATTGTACATACAAATCATAATCGGCCGAAAATTTATATTTATATTAAACCACTGAAAATTGAGACGTTCGTTAAAAGGCAAGGTATCTTTTTCATAAATAATTATAGTAATGACGACAATAATGGTGACATCAATAATTATATAGCGTAAATATAATCATAGTAATACCTTACAAAAATATAATAATATTAAAACATAATAAAAGTAATAAATTCATAATAATAATACAAGTAGTAAGTATATTAGAATGTGATCATCAACTGTAGGAATAACGATAAAAACATTCCGTTAACAATAATGAAATTTTTTTCGATCGTTGATACTTCTAACGCATATAGAGTCTGACAAAAACGCGAATATTACATTTCGGATTAAGATTATTATCTACAACATACGACATTCAGATATATAAATCATTTACATTCACATTTTATCATTCCGATTTACATATCTCGATAGAAACATTTTTCAATCCTTTTAGCTCCCACAATCTTTCACTGTACTGTCGTCCGGGATACGAAATTGTGTCAAAGAAATGTCATTATTTTCCTTTTTGATTCAAGATTCAGTAGAGAAATCTACACTCATTGAGCACGAATTAGTCAAATGTGATTCTTATGCGCGTTATGATAGAATCCAATATGCGTCAATAGAGTTATTATACATATATATTAGCGATTTATTCACGTTTCGTGCTTACGCTTTCTTCTTTTTCTCGTACACATTATATTCGTTTTTCGATTTAGCGCCATTGGGTGCGGCAGTTAGGCAGTTTTAACAATTATTTATTTATTGCGCTAGGCAAAAGACTTATCAATTAAGCAACGATCATTTTTTAACGAGTTATTAGAAGCAAACGAACATTGTTCGCGGGCTTCGATCGAATGTTAATCAATGATAACTGTTTATGTGTAAGAGTTTTACTATACAAATATATTTATATATATATATATGGATTAACGAATTATTTTCTAAAAAAGGAACAGTTTTATACGTAGTATTTCATACCAAAGTTAACTTAGGCAAAATTCACAATGGCATTGCGTATCATTTCGTAAAAATGCAATTCCTCTTCTAAATAATGAAGATTTTGTTCATGAAGTACCGGCATAAAACCAGAAGACATTATCCTAATTCTAAGATTGTCAGTCTTGAGAGACGAATAATTAAGCCATTTACCGAATACTTTTGTATGCTATAAAAAGTAATAATATTTATATGTATATGTGTGTAAGACAAAAATTCAATATGTAGATCCAAGGAATTTGCAATAACCAAGAAATTTGTCCTGAATGTTTCTACATGATTGTGTCAGGAATGTATATAATTTAAAGATGCATGTAATCTAAAGAATTCATGTCTTGTCTAAATGTCTTCTCTAAAGTACTATTTGATTATTTGAAGAAACAAAATTGTGTAGAGCCTGCTTGAAATATGTATAATCATTTTACGCGCTATGATCGTAGAGTACAAAAAATTATTCCACGGAATGTTGCAATAAATGCAAAACATCAAGTATTCAGACGTGATACAGACGGTTTCAGTACGAACGATTTCACTGAACTATATTCTACAAAACACACGCGTTTTATAAAAAACTGTTTTAGATACGTAAATAATTGCTCGGAAGATTGTATGTTGGACCGATCTGTTGGACGGTACCTTCGATTGATCGCTCGTTGGCAGAGATTACAGAGTCATATATCGCAAATTTAATATGTTTCGTTTTGTGTACAAGTAAACGTTTATATGAGAGATCGAAAATGAGAAAAATCTGGCATCGATTTTAAAACTGTTCAAAATATTTGATAACTTTAATAACCGACAGTTACATATATGCTTAATCTAAATTGTGAAAAGCGTTTAAAAATCAATAATAATGATACGAAAATTATACAAATGAAATTAAAGATATACGACATATGAATATATTAAAATTATTGAAATGACGCCAACACTATTAATTTCGACAAAAATTTTGGTCATAAACTCTCCATCTGTATATACATATATATACAAATGGGAGCAGTCTAAATGAGCTTGCTTATGCCAGTCATAAATTACCCTATTTTAATATAAATTACCGTTACTTCACGAGCATGTACAAATCGAAGGATATTGGAAGCGAGAAGTGTGCATGTATGACATTTGAAATATCGCACAAACGACATTGCGTTGTAATTGGCAGTTAGATAGATAATTGAGCGCTGAGAATTCGCGAAACGACGTAATATCATTTAAATCTCGTCTCTCGTTCAAGCGAAATCGCGTTTTTAATTTAGCTTCCGATATAACATATCGGTTCTATTGCATAATGTGTCTTTTTCAATAATGACTAAATGTATAATTATGTATATTGGAACGTAATTATGACCGAACGAAAATCGGCATATTTTCAATAAAATGAGAACGACTTAAAAAAGATTCACTGAATCTTACATTAGTATACAAAAATAAAAAGAAATATGGACATTCGATCGTTTCGATGACATTTAAAGGATTTTATTTCAGAATCTCGGTTGTTTTCGGGTAAAAATAAAAGCTCGATTTCAAGCTCGATTTATCTGTTGTCCGGATTAAGTTTTCCGTAACGAGAACTTCGTACGGAAGATACGTGTGGTCGATCTCATTTAAAATAGATGAGATAGGTGTTACCCGATTTCGTGATCGATCGGCGCCGAACATTCGCGGTGCGGGACGTATAGGTGAGACGGTCCGCAATCGCAATTCGAGATACACTCGGTGACAATCAATAAATTATCCCCGATGCCGGGTATGACGTACGTACACTCGCTTCGTTAACTGTCGGATGCGCGCAGCACTTTCCCACAACGTTAAATGGAATGTGTGCCGGTGGCTCTCGCGTTACTCCCCCGTGCATCCGAGGGTTGAACGATGGGTACCGATAAACGAGGTCAATTCTCCGATAACCTGCAGCAGGCCGAGTGAGACGCCGGGTCACGGAGAAGGGCGCAATGCAAAATACAAAATTACAAAAATATACTCGTGGCGCCGGTAACGACCGGACCCGTGCCGTGCGGGTTTCCCGTCACGTGTATCACTTACAATATACGACAGGGGGTATACGAATAGGGGTGCGATCGAGAGGAAGAAGGGGGAAAAAAGAGGAGAGAAAGAGAGGAGTGTATGTACATGGCACGGCAGGGCGATCGAGCTGGGCGAGCCGCGACTCTGCTAGGCCGCTTAAAATACTGTCCGATGTTCTCCGATCGTGCAACCTCGATTTTTCGCGTGCGATCTTATCGCAAGAACGCGTGGTCTTTTTCATTTGGACCGTTGAACAGAACAGTGAGGTCTCGGATCAAAAAGAGAGAAACGCGAGGGAAGATAACCGCGTGTAACGTCGATTCAACGACGTTACGCGGAAGAAACGGAGGAGGAGAAAAATCGTCGTGGATGGAAAAATCGGTTGGCACTGGCCTACGAGAAACCGGGAACGTTTCTCAGGCTGTCGCGGCGCATCGCGGCCGAACATTTTTCTCGCATGGGAGCTAGACGGTAACACGCTGCAATAAGTCGTCGAGTTTGTCGATCGCGGCGGCGCGGCGAAAAATCGAGGCGACACGATCGCGTCGCTATTTTCTCCGCCACGTCTCACCCGGGGGGGCGGCTGTCTTTGCGCTCGGACCGTAGTCGTCGGACGCTTAATACTGTTCGGCGTAATCCGGGCACGGAAAGCCCAGTTTTTTTGAGGGTAGTTCTTCTTTGGCGACCGTCACACCTTGCACGTCCGCGAATCTCAAACCTGGAGTACTGGCGTTGAGAAATATAGAGAAATAGGAAGAGAAAGCTCCTCCTTAAGAAAACGGAAACGTTTTTCAAAGGAGGAGCTTTTCTCTTCCTATTTTCGAAGAAAAGGGAAAAAAATTAGCTAAAAAAAATTGATTCTCCTAAAAATGAATTTAAATTTGAATATTAAATTAAATATTCTTATCGCGGCATCTATGTGTATGCGATATATCTCAAAACAAAGGACTTTGAAATGATATAAAAATGACGGACACTGAAGAGTTCCTTTTCATTCGAGATTGAGCAGTATTTATCTCTTAAAGGAATCTTCATTTCAAGTCGCGTTCAAAGTATCGCGATATTTAATACATCGAAACCTTCTCATACAATTGCATGAGGAAAGAAATGGCTCTCCGAGTTTACAGTCGAGATAAAGTGCGTTTTTTCAAAGCACTGCGTATGTCGTGACACGATTCCGTGTGATGCATTTATGGAATAGGAGCCGGCGTGTTTTGCCTGAACTGTCTGTGGATCCGAGGAGTCACCGCCGAGAATCTGGGAGACAAGAGTACGAATTGATCGAGAGCGCCCTTTGAATTCAAACCTCGTTCGATGGTAAGTCAAGTTCGCGTAGGATTCATTCGAAATGCGTCTCCTCGGTACTTTGATAAGGGGAACTCTCGTCGCGCGCAATCGCAACAAGTTGTATACAATCGCGTCCGAAATCCCTGCTAAAGCCAGAGAGGGAAGGGTAACGTTAATCTTCCGGATAAAAAGGTAACAAAAGTATAAAGAGCGCGGATGGCTCGCCGGCGATAAATTCGCAGTTAAAGAACGTTCCCTACCTACCCTTACCCTCGGTGAAATATCGCCAACGGTTGAAGTATTCTTTTCATGTGTGTTGGTAAGCGCACGTAAAGCACTTCTTATCACGATGTATCGCAGCCAGATGTTCTACGCGGGAAACGGAACGGGCGTATCGACAACGTTAACCGACAACGGAGGATAATGGAAGCACCGCAAAGTGGGGACCACTTGTACTCATATCGCGAAAATCGCATCGCGAGAAAAAAAAGAAGGAGAAAAAAAAGCGGAGAAAAAGAAGGGAACTCGAATGAGTTCGCCGTTCGAAGAGGCATTAACTTCGAAACGAAAGAAAAATGCGCCGCCGGCTGTGCGCGCGACAAGTCGCTTCGACGAGTCACATGTTTTCTAGTTTCAAGGAGAGACGATTTATCGGCCATCAGGTATTCGGGACCATAAGTCCGAACGCGTTCGCTCGTCGCGATGATATATAGCTCGCGTGGACGTTCTACTTTACGATATATTGTCGTCGACGGTAGAATTGTAGCGATCGAACGTATCTCAAAATGGGGACGCGTCATTCAAACGCGTTGAATTCTCTTCTCTCATTCGCCGCGTTTACGATACGTCGTGATATCGTCATCTTTCTAAACCATGTCCATCTAACATTTCGTCCGCATTACACCGCGCTATCCTTTTGACGATTCGCAAATAACTCGTACGAGCGTCCTGGTCAATACTTTTTCGAGTCCAGATATTATGCGCAATATGTCGGAGTTAACAATCGAGCTGTAATTGCTGCTAATTGGAACGCACCGTGCGTAACGTTCAATTAATTTGAAGTCCCGAAGTGAATTTGGATCAGTAGGGGGAGGGGAGGAGTACAGATGTATGTATATATGTATATATATCAAACTGGTCTTTTTGGTGTTATCCACGGCTAGTATGATGGTGATAGCGGGGACCAATTGGATAGCGATGTCGAATTGGTCTCGTTTACAAAATACGCTGTTATTCTGACCGCTCGGTCATTCTGACGATAATGAATTACACGAATTTCAAAAGTCACGATATTCGTGCAATTAACGTCGACAGAAATAAACGCGGCAACGTTACTCACATACGTTTTTTTTTCTGTACACGTACTTCATAATATATCTCTTACTATCCCGAACACGTATCGAGTGTCATCGCAGCACTTACATCTACTTTAGGTTTATACAATTGTAATAGATATTATCCATTTAACGTAATACAAAGTGGCACCGTTATATAGGTAGCGGTATTCCGTATTGCATTAACGATATCTGACGCGATCGATTGGCCGCTGTAAATGTCGCGAGCGATACCTGCCGGTGATTTAAGATACCGACAAATGTCGCTGACAGAATACGGGATACTTCTACCAGTACAAGCACGGTTAAACGATGCGCTTATACAGAAGGAGAAGGGACACAGATCATTACGCCATTCAATATAAGCTTAGCACGAGAGTTCGCATCGTTTACGAATGTAACGAGTCTTGTTTCTACGATTCCACATAGGCGTCGGAATTTCAATGTTAGAAAAGAAACGCGACAGGATGGCGTATAACAGCTAGATAGATTCTTAACAATATTAAATTCTCATCACGTTTCCCGCATAAATGTAACATGTGCAAAACGTTACCTTGTCTGAAACCTTAACACTTCTGTTTATACACGCGAATCGTGCCGTAACGATCACGATTTCCCATTACGGATAATACGAATAGAAGACAAATTCACTGGTATCGTTCTTCGCAGAACGACTCGAGTTCACTTCCAGTTGCTTCGCGTAAATTTTACACAAAACGCGAATAGATTTCGCCTTATATCGACTAATACCGACGGCAATGTTCGGAATCTTATTCACATTTACCGTGTTATCAACTCACGACGCGTGACGAACGTCAAATAAAACACTAAAGAAACCTGATGAAAAAAAAAAAGAGGAAAAAGAAAAAATACGTAGGAAAAGACGAGGGATAAGAAATGATACTCGATCACATCGTATAAAAAATAATTCATACGGAGCACGATATATTGATTTCGGATATTCCGATTAATTTCGAATATTCTGTAACGCACAATAAATAACTTACAAGATAACTTACAGGGAGGGAAAGTTGAGGGACGAGGATAGGTGACACGAATGTCCGATCGGCGCGTCCTCCTTTCAACGTCATCGTCAGCGGTTTCGGCGAGCCACTCGTGTTCATCTATGCACGAAGATGTCTCCTCTATATCTCGATTATCCTCCAGATGATCGCGACTCGCCGAAGGGAGTGGAAGTCCCGCGCGCATGAGACGCGCGTCTCGAAAGGCACTACCGGTTTATTGTAAGTGTGGTCGTGCACGCCCCGTCGTGGCGTACCACGACCAGTCGCCCTCATCGCGGACGATGCCCATGGTATCATACTTCCGTGCCATCCTCGCCCTCGTCCTCGTAAAGCGTCGGTCCGTTGGCGGATTTCTTCTTGGGTTTTGGCGGCGGTCTCGGTGGCACTTTCCTACCGAGGGTGTTGCTGGTGGCTGGCTGTTGCTGTTGCTGTATGAGTAACAGATGACTGCCGTCCATACTCTCGTCCGCTAACTTGAACGGCCATTCGGCTGCGCCTTCCGGCGCTGCCCGATCCAACGAATTGCTGGTCAAGATGTTCGGCGTGCTACGTTGGATCGTACCATAATGCGAACCTCCCGATGTACCTGGAAGTGGTCGACCCCTCATGGACGACGGCGCCAATTCCGGACTCTTGTTGAGCGACAGCATCGAGCTACCATCAGCCGTGGTACGTAGACCAAGATTGTCATAAACTGGCTCGAGAACATCGGTGGGTGACGTCGGGGGTCCACTGCTCCAGCTAGGTGCTCGCGGGCGTCGCGGGATCGTCACGTAACCGTGACGTGGTAACACCGGCGCCATCGGCGACGATGACGAGGATGGTCCGAGACCATACGGCGTCACGCTGCGGCTGTGCGGCAACGTCTTGAAGACGGCCGAGTGATACTGGCCTGACGGCGGCGAGCCATACGATGAAGCTGCCGTCGCAGCCGCCGTCGTCGTTGCCACCGGTGTTATCACGTGCTGACTAGGCAAACGCGTGCTGTCGGGTGCTGTTGACGCCTGGCTAGTCGGCGATGCACCGCGACCGCCGGAGAAGGCCAGCAGATCCGGCGGATATTGTCGGTGGTAACCGGCACCTCCGCGCGGTAATGTATCGCCACCGCCGTCGTTGCCGCCCCCGTCGAGCTCTGGCGTGGCCCGCTCGTGCTCCCTCTCGTCGTCGCCTACGCCGCCGCCTACACCGCCGACGACACCGCTCCCGACACCGTCAGCTGCGAGAACATGAACAAAAGAGAAGGACGAACGTTAAAAAAGAAAATTTAAGAGGTCAAGAGAAAAAAAATGGGAAGAAAAAAAAGATCGCGCGCGAGAAGTCTGGAGTTCGAAGACGCTGGTGCTCGCGAGAACGAAGACGGTCGGGATATTGTCTCAATACGCGACCTGCCTTAGTGACGTGAGGTTGACGTAATATTGCCCTCGACGCGAACGTGGACGAGTGCTCTTAATCGGATTGGTCACGATATAATCGTGACTGGGAGCGCGCTTTGTCAATTTGACTGAAAAATGTAACTATATTTCCTGACCATCGTCGGTCAAGCGTAACGCTTGGAGCTACATTGTGCCGCTTTGAGGTTTTCCTAAAGTAAAGGCTCGTAAAGTTGATCGAATTTCTCTATAAGAATTGAATCGTATTAATATGCAAGTCGTATATTTTTTCCTATATTATTCTGAGTTCTTAAAAATTCGACTGAGTGTGCCATTATATACAAGTCCCTACGTAATCTCGTCGAAAAATATTTCATTAACGGTAATCTACAACACACAACACGATTTTTGGCGAACCTCTTATTGTCGTCATTACTTACGCAATTATATGTTACAGCGATTCACTATGCAATCCGTAATTAACGTTCTCGCATCGGAAAGTAAAACTTAAAGTCTGTTCTTATCTACAAAAAATATTATCGTATTTTTAAAAGAGAAGAGAATGATATCAGTGGTCGGACACAAATGACGAATGTCTTCGCGCTGTCAGAACACGAATGTTTTATTAAAGGGATGCACCAAGATATCACCGATGGTCACGATATATCATAAGCATCCCTAGGATCTTCATTAGTCTCCTAGCTGCCACTTGATGGATTCTCCTTACCTTAAGATCGATGGCACCTAGTTGGACAATTCTCGTACTATAGTCCGCGCTCGGCACGGAACGAATCGATTTACGATTACACGCACACACATGCATACACGCTATTTGTACATTATATAAGCGATATATAGCGGTCGTTTCCATTCCCGCTAGGGGGAAGAATATTACCTCAACAAAATGACCGATGTTTCGGCGGTTCGTTAAAGACTCATATTGGCCACACTCGCTGGCAAATTCTATCGACCTTGAATTAACGTTCGCAATTGTGCGGTCGATTTCGAGGTAAATCGCTTGTCAAAGCTAATGTAAGATAGTTTCTCGCTAGCACCTAGCCGCGCACTGTTTAGTAATATATGCTGTGTACTGACCAAAAACCGAGTCGTTGTCGAGCAACGTGCGGTTCAGCTCCGTCATCTCTGTACCGTGCGACGTCACCGATGGTGCCTCGTAGCGCCTTGGTGGCTTCACGACCGGATTGATGGTAGTGATTAGGGACTTCTCTTGTTCGCCGAGACCATGATGCTCCAGGGACGCAGCCTCGAGACCTTTCTCATCATGTCTGGTCCGACGACGACGGCAATAGCACACGCAGAGCACTACCGTGACGATCAACAGACATAACGCGGTGACACCCAGTCCGATGGCAAGGGGTAGACTGATGAAATTTTCCCTACCGCCCAAAGCGTCGCCCACAATGGCCAGAGTCACATTTCTCTCAGCGTCGCCTCCTGGACTCTTCGCATGGCAGACATAATCACCCTTGTCAGAAGGCAGTGCATCGATAATGGTAAGATTCAACCATTCGTGGCTCGACGAGAGTACATAGCCTCTATCAGTGTTCGTGCGTTTAGTAAGATTGTTTAAAATACGATTGCGATGTGTCCAAGACAACTGAAACACACATGTCACATACGATAAGCTTTTTAATGCGTTATAGCATAAAAAAAGTCCTTATGTGATTAAAAAATCAAATATATGCGTATATACAAGAAAAAAATTTAAAAAAAAAATGACAGAATTGATATTACATTGTGGATATTTCTTTTTATTGTGAATTTCTAATAAATCAGGAATTCTTAATTAATATTTTAAACATTAATTAGCGAACTTTAATCTCACATTTGTATCTGTGTATTATGAAAGTGTAATTACCTGAGGACGAGGAATTCCTGATGCCTTGCACGTAAGTGTTACGTCTCCTTTGCCCATTTCAATTTTGGTCGCTGGACCAACGGCAGTAATCCTCGGTCTGCACGCGAATTCGTCACTAGTAACTACGTCCCACATTTTGCCGGCCATGTTGCGCGGCTGCTGGCAAGTGGTCGGCTTTGTGTACAACTTGTGTTCGATCGTCCAGTCGCGAAACCTTTTGAGATGGCAGTTGCAGTTCCATGGATTATTCCGTAGCTCGAGACTGCTGAGTTTGGACAGACTCTCGAAGCTTTGCACTTGCAGGGTGCTGAAATTATTCCCGTCCAACGCGAGAGACTGCAAGAGTGGCAAATTGCGAAACGTCTTTTCCTCGATTCGCTCCAATCTGTTATTCGACAACGTCACCTTCTGTAGGTAAGTGAGATTAATGAATAGATTGTTCTCTAACGCCTTCAACCTATTGTGATTCAGCAACAGCACTCGCAATCGTTGAGTTTCATAAAATGTGCCCGGATGTAGACTGTGGATGTTGTTGTTCGAAAGATCGATCTCTATGATGATCTTCAGGCTGCTGAACGCATCTGTGTGAATCGACTCGATGTTGCATTCGCGCAACACTAATTTGTGCAAATTTACCAGATGGACACGGCTAAATGCCTCGTGAACGAGATGAGACAGATTATTGCCCGTCATATCGAGATTCTGGATCTCAGGTGAGAGGTCCTCCGGCACTTTCGTGAAGTTCTGTTTAATGCACTCCGCGGTCTTCTTGCCGGACACCCATTTGCACTTGCACGACGAGCACTGCATCCAATCCTCCTCGCCTTGACACAGAGCGACTGTAAGCACCGCATAGAGCAGCCACCGGCCCGCCGTTCTTGATATCATCTCGAGGAATCCTGTTAACAGCAGGAACGTGCGCGATGATGTTAGAACGTGACTGTGGCATTGCGACCATAGAACTTACTTAGCCGAGTGTAGTTGCATGCATGAAACGGAGTTGTCTTTTGAGATATACAACGAGGAAACGTATAACTAACGCGTATACACACATACAAAACACACACACACACACTCTCTCTCTCTCTCTATATATATATATATTTCAGTTACGGCTTAATATTTACCAATGAGCGACTAGCTGCGCGTTTTGTGTGCGTTCATCATTATTGATAGTTGAACGCGGATGTGGATCATTGTTTAATTACACGATCGAATAATCATATTATGTATACGCGGCCGGAATTAATTATTACTAAATAATACGTGGCGCTTAATAATTTTGAATAATTTATATACCATACAAATATCCCGTACGCTATTTGACACTTTTAGTTAATATACGTTAGGATAATTGTCCGTGACTGTCACCGACAAATTACCTGGCATATAACGATTTTCCGACAATAAATGCTATTATATAATAATTTTATATAAAATACATAACTGAGATACGTAAGATATTATGACCTGTGCAGAACATTATATAAGTTTTCACGTGTTCTTATTTTGGAATTAAATTTGCTTGACGTACGCGTAAACGGTAAATACATTGATATTTCTTACAACAACATAAGTCGCTTGTGCGAACTGCACAAAGTTGTTTGGTGGCTCACCACTGCAACAAGGCTAAACTCGACTTTCGTGTTATCGAACAAGTCTGACTATGTCTGAGGCAGTTTGGCGGCATCAGAGACCTCCGGGATTTTCTTCATCTCCCCGGCCGCTCTCTGTCTTCCTTCTTTACACATTCCCCTGAGCCTACTATCCCTTTATTTTTGTTAGTCAACGCTTCTAATCTCAGAGCGACGGAACACCCTGCCGAGGACTGTTAGCAATTTAGCTTAATACCGTCGCGCTCTCCGACGCCGGCGTCGTGTCTTGACGTGTCGTCGAAGTTAAATTAATACAACACGACTAAAACACAACCTTCACCCCTTTTATTATCGCCGTAGAGATCGTGCATCAAATTAGCTTTCCGCTGACGAGCGAGCACTTCGCTACGATTTTCCTACGTTCGAATCGATAAATAAGAGGTTCGAGTTGTAACGACTTTTCATAAAAATATTTTTACATTTTAAATAATCTGAAACAATTCATTAGTAGAATCCGATTCTAAATTCACTTAATTACTTTACGTATTTCATCCTGCAGATTTCATTTCGCGTAGATTTTGCAATAGACTCTTCAAATTTACACAGAAAGAATGGTTTTGCTAAAGAATATAAAAATTTGATCGGATATTTATTTAGAACTATCTAGAACACTCAAGTGCTCCCAAAAAAATTATTTTTCAAAAAATTTAAAGAATCTATTTTCATTTATATCTAGCCATATTTTTAGATACTTGAGCTCTCTCTTCTTCCCATATATATATATATATATACATTATTGAACGAAATTGAAATGTGTTTGCAAAAGTCCAAGTCATAAATTAAACATGATTTAATCTTTCTCGAGAGTCGTCATGAGAATTGTCAACAAAATTACGATGTACTAATTAAAATCACATAACTCGCTTGTTTCGAAGAGTACAAAAGCCTACGGCATAGTGAATTAAAGGGAAACAAATAGGAATTCACCAAAGATCACGGCCGAAATTTATCGAGAAATTCGGTTCCGGTGGGAACTGCGCGTCGCTGTAGATTTGCGGCAACTTTTCGCCTACACGTGCTTCGGTGCGACGCCGAAACTTTTTGAAGTCTCTGTCCACAAGAGTGGTCACAGTTGCCGCACTTGCTCCTAGTTCCGCGATTTTATTGTCGTGGTCGCAAGAGAGCAGTTTCTTTTAAGCTCGGCGGTCCTTCCATAAGATTAAAATACGTATGTACCGAGCGTATCATCCTTTAAACCCCGCACGCACGCATTTCAGACTTCTCTTTGCCCGCGTGGTTTTAGATCTATAGCTAAAACAGTGCTCTTTGAACCGCGACACGCTACTTGGTATGTGTACAGCTTATGACACGTGGAACGTTTTCTCTTCCTCGGAATATTTCAGAGGAAAGGCACGTATAGAGAGTTAATATTACACAGGCAAAACGACGAGAGACGCTAAAAGACGGCGCTCGTACGACATCGTATGTGCGTTGAGCTTCAATTTCTACATCCGTCTCACTGTTGCGCTCCAATGCGGCTTTACGGCGGCGGTCCTGTCCTTCGATCCTAGTCGCGCATCGATCGACCGCATTTGACTTGTAAATAACCGAGCCAACGAGAATACGGGGGAAAGTGAGGAGCTTGTATACGAACCAGAGTGGCTTTTAGCTCGGATGAACGATGGATGAACGAGTGTCGAGTGTCCTTTGGCGGCGCGTGTGCCGGTAAGAACCTCCCACCTATCTCGTCGCGGGAGGCGGAAATGCGGAAGTTACGCGGACCAGTCTGCGTGTCCAGCACGTCGCGTGCCTCGCAACAATGAGAAAAAAAACCGTCGGGGAGCGCAGAGAGGAGAGAAAGGGAGACAGAAATAGTGGTAGGCGGTCGATTTTCCGCGGGGTGGAATTTCAAATTCGAACACCCTCTATCAATCAAGAGCGTTCCGTTCCTGGAGAGTACGGCAAGTATGCCCTGTTGCTCCTACACAAATTTCATCAATCATGCGAGCCAACACACCGGAGGCGGTGGTTATCCTGCCGGATCTCCCCTGTACGTCCTATATTTTCGCGCATGAAATAAGGTCTCGCGAAACACACCGAGCGGCCGATGATTGGCGGATGTAACGATCGGTACGACGAGTGGGTGGGCGGATATCGCGATGCTTATAAATGACTTTCGAAAGCAGTAGTTACAATGCAGCTTTCGCTACGGAAGCTACGCGTAAATACAGGACGTTTAAGAAGAAAGAAAAAAAAAAAAAGAGAAACCCCGGCGCGAAATGGATAAAGAAGCATCGCGAACTATGCCGGAATCTTTTTTCTTATCACGAAGCTATCGCATAAGTAGGGCACAGATTATTATAAGCGATTCACATTTTCGGGAAATTTCCCGAAACTTATATTTTATATAGGAAACTTCGCGTTTCCTATATAAGTGCCGTAATTTAATTTGTAATTTGTGAGAGAGGAGGAATATGCGCAGTACCGTCGTCCGTTTCTCCCGCGGAAACTTTTCCCCGACAGAAACAAGGATTATTGAACGACGACGACGGCCACGCGGCCGTCTTCCGAGAATATCAAAGAAGTTATGGCGGACGGATTTATACGTGTTGTATGTACTTGGAGATAACGCTTGAAGCGAGAGAGGGACTGGTACGTGGACCAAGAGTTCGACGAGAAAAACGCTCGTGTATAGCGTGTTCCATCGAAACTTCTCAGAGATTCAGTCTCTCTCGTCGTTGAGAGCGCTTAAACGTAATAACGAAATATCGCGAGCAACTTTTTGTTAAATTATCCGGTCGTGATACAAATGGCCGTGAGGCGAAAAGGAGAATCTCGTTTTCGATGTAATCGCGTCGTACAAAGTGAGTTTAAAGTTATTATTGTGACCTCCGGCTTGACTCAGTTACGGAAACATTGTCTAACTAACTAAGAATCCTCATCCTGCGGTTTGCACATTATTGCTCAAACGCATTTTGCACTGGTCTATATTTTGAATGTGTCTTAATTCTTTATCGAGATTTGATTTAATAAATATAAGAAAATAGATTTTCTCATTACTTATTTTAAAAATAGAATTAAAGAATATAACTAATCGAAACGATAATAATATATATATATGAAAAATCGAATTATGGATAATATTATATAATAATATATATGGATCACAAGATAAAAATATAATGACGTGATGAAAATATAACGTCTGATATTATTTAAAGACAAAGATGTCGTTATTTCTGTCCTTCACTTTCAAGTCAGCAAATTTGATTTGACACAGCATGTGTGTAACATGTGTCGAATCGCTATATGTATACGTATCGCCCGGAGCCAATCAAGACTTTACAACGAGGCAACGAGGGTAAACAATATAGCTTCAATATGCTTATGTCTGGAATTAAGTTTATTTATTCGACCGATCCCAGTTTCATCACGCGGAATTACGAGCATTAAGTAAATTGCAGCTCTGAGTGCGTTCGATAAATATTGACCAGACGTTGAGACCAGACATTACATCGTTGTAAACGTTATATTAAGTATATGAATACGAATTATATTACCCGTATCGATGCGGCGACGCGGTAATTGCGTAGGATGATACAATAACACTCGATATAACGCTTTATTAAAGATGGTTCTTCTTTGTCATGGCTATAATCAATTTGAACGAGAGGAGAAACGAACGAGTTTAGTTAATCGCACCGCCGGATCGGTTCCGGAGAAAAGCGCAGTGTTTTCCGTGAATTATCGAGGGGGTGCTGTTTTCATTACGCCGGGTCACCGCGCAACGACGGGGCACCATCGTAATCGACTTTCTAATTATAAACGCGGTGCTCTCGCTGGTGCTCTCGGATGGGGCGCGTGAACTCTCGACCGAGGTCACTTTTTCCCGATAAGTCGTTAATAGTTAATTAGCGGAGAATAAGGACGGAGTCATTAGCCCGTTCCATCATTGACTGTCTGGGAGCCAGCGAAATCGCGAATGAATTAATAGTTCTATTTGATCCTCTTACCGTTATATTAAGTATATGACTTAATCGTGTGTGGCATTACATACGTGACGACAAACAGAGATAATTTTAACTGCCAATAAGATATGATAGTAATAATTGTAGAAAATATGTCATTCATTGATCTATTGTTCCTAAATAAAGATGTTTTTTAACGGATATATCTTCCCTTGTTGGAAAATTTATTAGATACATTTATTATTTACATTCTGCAAATTATAAGTCT